CTCTGGAGTAGTGCGCTGCGCGTGTCTCAGACGACTCGTAACACGGACGCACACTATGAATATCTCGTTCTTCTCGCTGACGCCGCGGCGACTGCACCCGTTCTGCATACGAACAACCGCTTACTGTTCTGGTTGCAGACGCCTTCTCTCCCCGAAATATGCGATGAATACCATCGTAGAAGACTCGCTCTGTCGACGGCGGAAGTCGCTGCTCGTGCTGATACGAGTGATGGATCACCGTGGACCAGCGCCGGCCAAGACGCTTGCGGCCATCTATGCCGTTCGTCCGGGTTGGTACTGGTTGAACGCGGAGGGAGGCATTGATGATGAAAGACTCGCCCGCGTACCAAAGATGCATATGCTTTGGTACTACACGCGAAGCGCCTCCGCTTGGTTTCCATACGTTCCTTGCGCGCACGACGTACGCGTTTTTATGCGCGAAGATTCACCATTTCAACTCCTTCACAGCACCAGGGAACGAGCGTCGACGAACAAACGTCGTAGGGTCAAGAACATACGTACGGCACGCTCTGTGTTCTATCGCATCTACCGCAAGAACAGATGATAACGACACGTAAGGATCGTCAGTACGGAGGGTCGACATCTCGATAATCATCATGTCGCCGACCGTTTCCACATCATGAAAGATCCTCTCAGAACGTCTTCCCCGCATGATGCTGCACGTGTGCGGGCTACGTGAGTACATAGCATCTCTCGTCTTCAAGTCTACCATCTGACTGACGCTTTGCAGCTTCGCGTACACGTCTCATTCAGTCTGGATGATCTAGTCTGCATGTATGGCCTTACGCACGGGAGCTCAAGGTATGCGCGCTGTACTCAATGCTGGGACTATATTGATGTCGAGTGCGCATGTGGCTGAGGTCGAGACGGGTGCGCGCCTGCTCATTGGCGCAAGAGGATGTCCTTCGCATGTCACGGCTGCATAGACTGTAGACGTAGTCGATGCTATCATATGAAACTAGCAACCACTCCTCCGCCGGCTACATTCTGTTCTTTGCACCAAAAATACTTCGTGGATACGCCTCCGTCGCTCAGACAGCATATATAGTGCACGAGTCCAACTTGCAGGGAGCATCCATCAGTCGCTTTTCTTGCCATGGGCCCCGTCGATCCAACATATCCCCTCTTACCTATTGCTAACATTCTCTCTTCAGCAATGCTGCTCCTTGTACTCTTGACGAGCTTCATCCGCCAAAGCTGGAACCTTGGCGTCGCTTTCCTGTGCTTCTGGCTCTTTCTCGAGAATCTGACCACCGGTATCAATGCCATCGTATGGTCAGACAACGCCGACATCAAGTTGTACGTTTATTGCGATATCGGTGAGCGGATTCAATGACATAGAGTGTGGGATGAAGGTTTACTCAATGTTCAAGCATGTCAGTTTCGCACCTGTTCATGATCACGTCAATTGTCAAGCCTATGGCGACCTTGATCATCTCGCGCCGGTTATATCTAATCACCCGTCTGCAGTCCGTGGAACCTCTCGACAAAGCCACGGTGTGATACAGTACATGGAAGGCCATGCTTTCCCCATGCTGAGCACCACTCACAGAAACGCAAAGAACTCGCAATAGAGTGGACTCTTGGTTTAGTGCTTCCTCTCGTGGTTGCAGGACCCCTCTGTGAGTCACAACTATGTGTCGATGTTCATCAGGCGTGCTGAGCTCGCTGCAAGACTACATAGTTCAGCAGCTTCGATTTGAAGTCGATGAAGGCTTTGGATGTGATAACTCTGTCGACGGTTCAATCCTCGGAATATTGCTTCTCGATTCATGGAATGTAATTCCTCCCCTGTTATCTATCACCATCTACTATCGTGCGTCAGATTCCTTCTGCTAGGGATACTCTTAGATCTCCTGACGCCTGTGTGTGTACGACTCCAGCTTCTGTCGCTCGGCTCTTATATCGCCAAAGTCGGGACATCAACCACTTTCTACAGAGTAACGGCTCAGTGTCTCGCACCAACTACTTTCGCATACTTGCTCTCGCTAGTATCGATATCCTGCTCACCTTGCCCATGGGCATTGCGACTATTGTCTTGAATGTGTTACAGGATGTGTCTTTCGGTCTCATCCTATTCTACGCAGGTTGGACATTCGATCACACAGATTGGCAACCGGAGAGCTTCTCCTACGCAGACATAGTGGCGCAAGGGACTTCTACTGTAGGGGCGTTCTACTTCACCCAGTGGACATCACCCGTCCTCGCCTTCACCATCTTCGCCCTCTTCGGCGTCACCTCAGAAGCCCGCGCATCGTACGGGCGCATCATCTGCGCTATCGGCGGCTGGTTCGGCTGGAAACCGACTCCTCGCACGCGCAGGGCACGTTCACCGCTGGGAGACATCGAGTTCGGCGAGCGGCCAGCTCAAAACTCGACGTCGCTTGGTCTCGAGTGCGTTGCCTCGCCTTCTTCAACAGGATCTCGACTGATCATAGGATACAGTTCGAATCCTAGCTTCATCAATCGCGACGCACGGGCACAGGAGCGTACACCAGGCGAGGTGGAGAGTGGCGCGGACAAGGAGATCGAAGAGGTCCGTCGGAGCACCGACGGTGCAGTGTGAGTGTCCGTCTGGCCTACGCGAGTGCTGTAACTCACCCCGGGCTCTTCGTCTAGTAGAGATGCTGAGCATCAGTCTGGATATCAGGCGCCTCATTGTGTCAAAGCAGTAGACGCCTCGAGCGCCGTGTGAGCGGCGGCCTATTTCCGCGCGCATTCCGACCTCAGGCCTCAGGCTAGACGCCAACCCGACTTGATTCGCCCTCTGTTCACGTATATACCCGTTCTCTGTTGGTGTATGTTGCGCTTCCCGATATCTCGTCGTGTGTGATATAGATGTGAACGTGCGTAGCATAGATTATGTATGAGCCTCGCGCATTCGCCAGTTTCCACGCTGTTGTCAAGATAGATTGTACTGGCGTATCGTTTGCGGTTCGCGGCGTCGGTTGGGTCGGCTGAAGAGCGACACCTCGCACGCGCAGCATCTGTCCACCAATGGGAGATATCGGGTTTGGCCTGCGGCCACCTCGAAGCTCCTTCAGGTCGATCGATCTTGAGAGCGTCGCAAGATGAAACGATGCAAGTTGGCCGACTAGCACAACGGTTGCATATCTAGCGACGCGACCTATGCAGTTCGCCACCATTGTGCGAGCCAAGCATCTAATGAGCCGCCTAGCAGGAGGCGACTCTCAAGCCGGCAGCGGATATCTTGAGCGACGACCTTTGACGACCCTTCAGTTGCGGGGTATGCTGTCCGTTGCTTCTTTCATAGTATGTCATGGCTTTCGTAATGCATGATGACCTGCGGTGCAGCAGACTAGCGCAGAGTTCACGGGCCAAAGATGCATGTATTGGACTAATAGTGTGTACCTACATGCCGTCGTATCGTACTGAGCAATAGGCCCGGGGTATGCGGTGAGCGGGGACACCTCTGGGTAGTAGGTATTGATACGAACGGGTGCACATATACTCGGATGCCCCAAGGAGAAAGCTGCGCGAACCTGGGAGGGCGACCGTCAACGATACGCACCCGAAAAGAGGGGCTTTCAGACACGTACCCTGCTAATCACTAGGCGAGTTCTTGAACGCATACTTACTCGACCGCTCCAGCAGTCGTCGCAACGTGACCAGAACACCACCCCACTCCTCCGCATCTCGTCCATCGTACGCGCCACAGAGCATATAGTGCCAACCAGGGTACCTGTATGCAGTTCCTTGGTCGAGTATGGCCGTGCTGACTGGATCGTTATTCGTGGATTCGATCGAGCGCGCCCATGCGCTGAGCACGGTCCTCTTCGTTTGTAGAGAGGAGTTTCCGACTGCGACGCAAGACTATAGGAAGTGAGCGCCCGTATGGACGTGCTGATGCGCGATGCTGCATGGTGCAAGTGTAGGCATTACATTGCGCCCCTCGCGCACGGGCGGAGAAGGATATCCCAGGGTAAACTTCATGCTATCCGCGTCGTCATCCAGGGGGGTTATCGGCGTATTAGAGTTCCTATCGGATGGACGTCACCACGCCCGCCTCGTGTCTCGCGACGGCGGTCCGCGCGTCCCGTTTGACGCCCATAAACGTACCGCTCTCACAGACCTTCGCTCAGCGAGAGGATCTTGCCCCACCACCACCACCATGACATGCAAAATAAAAATTCTATCTCGTTCTCTCTCTCTAGAACTGTGCGCAGCCCGTGTCACACACGACTCGTAACACGAATACACACTATGAATATCTCGCTCTTCTCGCTGACGCCGCGGCGACTGCGCGCGTTCTGTACGAGCAGTCGCTTACTGTGCTCGCTGCCGGCGCCTTCTCTCCCCGGAATACGCGAGGAGAACCCATCGTCAGTGTGCTGTACCGACGGCGGAAGCCGCTGCTCGTGCTGATAGGAGTGATGGGTCGTGGTGATTTAGCGCCGGCCAAGACGTATGCGGCCATGTATGCCGTTCGTACGTTCGTACGGGCCCGTACTTGTTGAACGCGGAGGGAGGCATCAATGATGCAAGACTCACCCGCGTACCAAACATGCATATGCTTTGGTACTACACGCGAAGCGCCTCCGCTTGGTTTCCATACGTTCCTTGCGCGCACGACGTACGCGTTCTTATGCGCGAAGATTCACCATTTCAACTCCTTCACAGCACCAGGGAACAAGCGTCGACGAACAAACATTGTAGGGTCAAGAGCATACGTACGGTACGCTCTGTGTTTCATCCCATTTACTGCAAGAACTCATGAGAACGGCACGTAGTGATCGTCAGTACGAAGCGTCGTCATCTAGATAATCATCATGTCGCCGACCGTTTCCGCATCATGAAAGACCCTCTCAGAGCGCCTTCCGCGCATGATGCTGCACGTATGCGGGCTACGTGGATGAGTACGTAGCATCTTTCACCTTCAAGACTACCATCTGACGGACGTCTTGTCTAGTCTAGATGTATGGCCTTACGCACGGGAGTTCAAGGTATGCGCGCTATACTCAATGTTGGGCCTACACTGATGTCGAGCAAGCAGGTGGGTGAGGTAGAGACGGGTGTGCGTGCCCATTCCCGCGGGAGGAGGTCGTTCGCGTGTTGTGGTTGCATAGACGGCAGACGTACTCGATGCTATCATATGAAACCAGCAACCACTCCTCCGCCGGCTACATTCTGTTCTTTGCACCAAAAATACTTCGTGGATACGCCTCCGTCGCTCAGACAGCATATATAGTGTACGAGTCCAACTTGCAGGGAGCCTCCATCAGTCGCTTTTCTTGCCATGGCCGCCGTCGATCCAACATACCCCCTATACCCCATCGCTTGCTTCCTGTCTTCAGCAATGCTGCTGCTTGTACTTTTGACAAGCTTCATCCGGCAAAGCTGGAATCTTGGCGTCGCTTTCCTGTGCTTCTGGCTCTTCCTCGAGAACCTGACCGGTGGTATCAACGCCATCATCTGGTCCGATAACGCCGACATCAAGCTATACGTTTACTGTGATATTGGTGATTGAATTCAACGATAGAGAGGGTGGGATGAAGGTTTACTAAATGTTCAAACATGTCAGTTTCGCGTCTCAACATGATCACGTCGATTGTCAAGCCCATGGCGACCTTAATCATATCGCGCCGATTATATCTCATCGCCCGTCTGCAGTCCGTGGAACCTCTCGACAAAGCTGCGGTGCGATACAGTACATGAAAGGTCACGCTTTCTCCAAGCTGAACACTATCCTACAGAAACGCAAAGAACTCGCAATAGAGTGGACTCTTGGTCTAGTGATTCCTCTCGTGGTTGCAGGACCCCTCTGTGAGTTACAACTATGTGTCGATGTTTATTAGGCTTGCTGAGCTAGCTGCAAGACTACGTAGTTCAGTGGCCTCGATTTCAAGTCGAGGAAGGTTTTGGATGTGATAATTCTTCCGACGGTTCAATCCTCAAAATCTTGCTTCTCGATTCATGGAATGTAGTCCCTCCCCTGGTATCCATCGTTATCTACTATCGTGCGTTGATTTGTTTGAGATGGTTGCTCTCAGATCTTCTGACGTTCGTACCTACTACTTCAGCTCATGTCGCTCGACTCTTCCATCGCCAAAGTCGGGACATCAACCAATTCCTGCAGAGTAACGACTCTGTGTCTCGAACCAACTACTTCCGCATACTCGCTCTCGCCAGCATCGATATTCTACTCACTTTGCCCGTAGGCATCGCGAATATCGTCTTGGAGGTGGAAGAGACTTTGCCTTACGGCCCTATCCCATTCTACTTTGGTTGGACCTACGACCACACGGACTGGCACCCGGAGAGCTTCTCCTACGCAGATCTAGTGGCACAAGGAACTTCAAGCGTAGCAGGGGCTTATTTCACCCAATGGACTTCACCCATACTCGCATTCGCCATCTTCGGCCTCTTCGGCGTCACCTCGGAAGCCCGCGCATTGTACTGGCGCGTCATCTGCACCATCGGCGGCTGGTTCGGCTGGGAACCGACCCCTCGAGCGCGCAGGTCGCGTTCACCGCTGGGAGACATCGAGTTCGGCGAGCGGCCAGCTCAGAACTCGTTGTCGCTCGGTCTCGAGTGCGTTGCCTCGCCTTTTGCCACAGGATATCAACTGATCAGAGTCTACAGCTCGAATCCGAGCTTCATCAATCGCAACGCACAGGCGCAGGAGCGTACACCGGGCGAGGTGGAGAGTGGCGCGGACAAGGAGATTGAAGAGGTCCGTCGGAGCACCGACGGTGCAGTGTGAGTGTCCTTCTGGTCTACTTCAGCGTTGTAGCTTATCCCAGGCTCTTCATCTAGTAGAGATGCCGAACAGTCCGGATATCAGGAGTCGCACGGTGCTGAAGCGGTAGACGCCTCGAACGCCGTGTGAGCGGCGGCCTAGTTCCGCGCGCATCCCGACCTCCGGCCTGGCGCAGCGTCAAGCTCGCAACTCTGTCCTACTTGATTCGTCGTCTATTTATGTATTCCCGCTCTGTGTACCGGCTGCAGCGCTCCTGAATGTCTTGTCTTGCCTGGTATTGATATGATAGTGCATAGCATAACTCATGTACGAGCCTCACGCACTCGCCAGTTTCATCGGTGTTCTCGATGTAGATCGTACTGGCGTGTCTGCACAGCTCGCAGTAGGTTCGGCTGGAGATCGACGCCTCCCAGGCGCAATGCTTGTCCACCGATGAGAGATGTCGAGTTGGGCCAGCGGCCGCCTCAAAGCTCCAGGTCGACCGATCTCGAGTGCGGCGCAAGATGAAGCGATGCAAGTTGGCCGACTAGTACGACGGTTATCCAGCGACGCGACCTATGCAGTTCGCCACCATTGTGCGAGCCAAGCATCTACGAAGTCGTCAAGCAGGAGGCGGCTCCCAAGCCGACAGCGGACATCTTGAGCGACGACCTTTGACGACGCTTCAGTTGCGGGGTATGAGGGGGTATGCTGTCCGTTGCTTCTTTCATAGTAGTGTCACGGCTTTCGTGATGCACGATGATCTGCGGTGCAGCAGGCTAGTGCAGAGTTCACGGGCCAAAGATGCATGTATTGGACTACTAGTGTGTACCTACATGCCATCGCATCGTACTGAGTAGTACGCCCACGGTATGCGGTGAGCGGGGACGCCTCTGCGTAGCAGGTACTGATATGTATGGGTGCACGTATGCTAGGGTGTCCCACGGAGAAAGCTGCGCGAACCTGGGAGGGCGACCGTCACCAATACGCACCGCGAAGAAAGACTTTCAGACACGTACCCTGCCAATCACTAGGCGAGTTTTTGAACGCATACTCGACCGCTCCAGCAGTCGTCGCAACATGACCAGAACGCCACCCCACTGATCCGCTTCTCGTCCATCGTACGCGCCACAGAGCATATCGCGCCAACCAGGGTACCCGTATGCAGCTCCTGGTTCGAGTATGGCCGTGCTGACTGGGCAGACGACGGAAGGGCGTGTTTTTCTGCTGATACCCCTGCATGGCGAGCATGAGTCACATAGGTCGTGCCAGTAAGGATAGACTCAACGTACGAAGTACACAGGCATGGTCCTTGTTCGTCGGCGAGGGGTGTGAGAGGGCAAAGATAGTGAGGTAGCCTTATCCGCCCGTGCGTGAGGGGCGCGACGCAATGCCTGCACCTGCACCATGCAGCATCGCGCCACAGCACGTCCAAGGCGCTCTCTTCCTATACTCTTCCGTCGCAGTCGGGAGCTCCTCTCCAGAAACGAAAAGGACCGTGCTCAGCGCATGAGCGCGCTCGATCTGAACGCGCGAACAATGAGTATCATCCGCGTCGGGGATGGCCTCCATAGAGATCCTAAGCGACCTCTTCCAGCCCCGCATCATTGTCGTACTTCAGAGCCTCAACACGCCCTTCGTGAGCGGCTCGTCCTGCCGCACCCGCATAAGCTTGACGCCGCCGGCCACGGGGTTCATGCTGTCCGCGTCGTCGTCCAGGGGAGTTATCGGCGTATTAGAGTTCGTATTTGTAGATGCCGACGAGTGTGCTGACGGTCGCGGGAGAAGAGACGGCGCCAGACTGGTCATCGGGGTCGGCCGTCGTGGTCGTGAGTGTAAAGTCGAGAAAGACAGGCCAAGAGAAGGACGGGCTCGGAGTGTCGTCCGCACGCGCGCAGAAGTGATGGGCCTGGCCCCTCCGACGGTCCGGGTTTTCCAACTTTGGTCTTGGCCCGGTATTTCCGCTCTTTACATAGGTCCTCTCGAGGATATGTTTAGGACTGCGCTGTATGTACAGGGAAAGTGAGAGGTTTCGGACTGGGGTAATACTGTTGGGCCACATCCGAACAAAGGCTGGCTGTAGTCTATCGGATGGACGTCACCACGCCCGCCTCGTGTCTCGCGACGCCGGTCCGCGCGTGCCGTTTGACGCCCATAAACGTACACAGCATTCACAGCCCTTCGCTCAGCGAGAGGATCTTGCCCCACCACCACCACCATGACATGCAAAAAAAAATCCATCTCGTTCTCTCTCTCTAGAACTGTGCGCAGCCCGTGTCTCACACGACTCGTAACACGGACGCACACTATGAATATCTCGTTCTTCTCGCTGACGCCGCGGCGACTGCGCCCGTTCTGTACGAGCAGTCGCTTACTGTGCTGGCTGCCGGTAGCTCTCCCCGGAATACGCGAGGAGAACCCGTCGTCAATGTGTTGTACCGACGGTGGAAGCCGCTGCTCGTGCCGATAGGAGTGATGGGTCGTAGTGATTTAGCGCCGGCCAAGACGTATGCGGCCATGTATGCCGTTCGAACGCGGAGGGAGGCATCAATGATGCAAGACTCACCCGCGTACCAAACATGCATATGCTTTGGTACTACACGCGAAGCGCCTCCGCTTGGTTTCCATACGTTTCCTGCGCGCACGACGTTCGCGTTCTTATGCGCGAAGATTCACCATTTCAACTCCTTCACAGCACCAGGGAACGAGCGTCGATGAACAAACGTCGTAGGGTCAAGAACATACGTACGGTACGCTCTGTGTTCTATCGCATCTACCGCAAGAACAGATGATAACGGCACGTAGGGATCGTCAGTACGAGGGGCCGCCACCTCGATAATCATCTTGTCGCCGACCGTTTCCACATCATGAAAGATCCTCTCAAAACGCCTTCCACGCACGATTATACACGTATGCGGCCTACATGGATGAGTACGTGGCATCTTACTTCTTCAAGTCTACCATCTGATCGGCGCTTTGCAGCTTCGCGCACACGTAGATACCCTTGCTCGATCATTTCTCCCTAGTTTCCCATCTTCGGCGCCCAGGATATGTGTGTGATCTGGCGCATTGAAGTGCAAGGTATGCGCACCATGCTCAATGTTGGACCTGTGCTGACGTTCAGTAGGCAGGCGGCGGAGGCCATATCTCGTCGACTACTCGAAGCACCTAGGAGCCTTTGTCCGGTCATCAATGGAATCTATCACCGGATCGCCGCGGCTTCGAAATACCATCTTTATCCGTACAAGCTTGACTGTCGCTAGCCCCTCAGGCGGGCGTACACGCCCATTCGTGCTGGCAAGAGAAGTCGTTCGCGTGCAATGGTCACGTAGACGGCAGACGTACTCGACGCTAACATATGAAACTAGCAACGATACGCTTCCGTCGTCTTCGCAATGTTCATCGAACCGAAAATACTTCGTGGACATGCTTCCTTCGTCTCTCAGACAGAATATATAGGACTGGAAATCCAACTGGCAGAACGCATCGATACCTCACTCGGATTACGATGGCCGCTGTCGACCCAACATACCCTCTCTACTCCATCGCTTGCTTCCTGGCTGCGGCGATGCTGCTCCTTGTACTCTTGACAAGCTTCATCCGGCAAAGCTGGAACCTTGGCGTCGCTTTTTTGTGCTTCTGGCTCTTCTGGGAGAACCTCACTTTGGGGATCAACCGTATCATATGGTCCGATAACGCCGACATCAAGTTATACGTTTATTGTGATATCGGTGAGCGGATTTAGAGATTTTGGAGGCCTGTGCGATGAAGGTGTACTCAATATTCAAGCATGGCAGTTTCGCATCTCTTCATGATCACTCATGTTGTCAAACCTATGGCGACCTTAATCATATCGCGCCGGCTATATCTCATCACTCGTCTACAGGCTGTAGAACTCCCCAACAGAGCTGCGGTGAGGCACAGTACCTGAATGGCCACGCTTTCTCCAAGCTAAGCACTATCCCACAGAAACGCAAAGAACTCGCAATAGAGTGGACTCTTGGTTTAGTAATTCCTCTCGTGGTTGCAGGACCCCTCTGTGAGTCACGACTATGTGTTGATTTTTATCGGGCTTGCTGAGCTCGCTGCAAGACTACGTAGTTCAGGACGACCGATTTCAAGTCGAGGAGGGGTTTGGATGTGATAACTCTAATGACGGTTCAGTACTCAGCATATTGCTCCTCGAGTTATGGAGTGTAATCCCTCCCCTGGTATCCATCGCCATTTACTATCGTGCGTTGATTTGCCTGTTATGGCTGCTCTCAAACCTCCTAACACTCCTGCTTACTACTCCAGCTCATGTTGCTAGACTCTTCTATCGCCAAAATCGGGACATCAACCACTTCCTACAGAGTAACGATTCTGTGTCCCGGACAAACTACTTTCGCATACTTGCTCTCGCCAGCATCGATATTCTACTCACTTTGCCCTTAGGCATCGTGAATATCGTCTTGGATGTGAAATGGACTTTGTCTTACGGTCCCACCCCATTCTACTTCGGTTGGACATACGACCACACGGACTGGCAGCCGGAAAGCTTCTCCTATGCATATACGGTGGCACAAGGGGCCAGCGTGACAGACTTGTACTTCCAACAATGGACATCGCCCGTCCTCGCATTCGCCATCTTCGCACTCTTCGGCGTCACCTCGGAAGCCCGCGCATCATACTGGCGCGTCATCTGCACCATCGGCGGCTGGTTCGGCTGGAAACCGACTCCTCGCACTCGCAGGGCGCGTTCACCACTGGGAGACATCGAGTTCGGCGAGCGGCCAGCTCAGAACTCCCTGTCGCTCGGTCTCGAGTGCGTTGCCTCGCCTTCTTCAACATAATCTCAACTGATCATAGGATACAGCTCGAATCCGAGCTTCATCAATCGCAACGGACAGGCGCAGGAGCGTACACCGGGAGAGGTGGAGAGTGGCGCGGACAAAGAGTTCGAAGAGGTCCGTCGGAGCACCGACGGTGCAGTGTGAGTGTCCTTCTAGCCTACACGAGTTCTGTGGCTCATCCAGAGCTCTTCATCTAGTAGAGATGTCGAGCATCAGTCTGGATATCAGGAGTCGCACCGTGCTGAAGCGGTGTATGCCTCGAGCGCCGTGTAAGCGGCGGTCCGTTTCCGCGCGCATCCCGACCTCCGGCCAGGCGCGCAACATCAGGCTCGCAGCTCCCAGTCTTATTTCACTCGGCCAGTTTGTTCACGTATACTCGCGCTTTGTTGCCGTCTGCAGTACTTCAGAATGTCTCGTCCCGCGTCGTATGCATATGATAGTACATAGCATAGATAATTCCGCCTTCGCAATCGCTAGTTTCAACAGCGTCGTCGAAATAGATCGTACTGGCGTACCGTCTGCACATGTGGCGATTGGTTCGGCTGGAGATTGACATCCCCCGCGCGCAGTCTATGTCCACCTATGGGTGATATTGCGTCTGGCTTGCGGCCGCCTCTAAGCTTCTTCAGGTCGCTTGACCAACGCTTGACCTCAAGTGCGTCGCAAGTCGATGCGATGCAAGTTGGCCGACTAGCACAACAGTTCATATCCAGTGACGCTCTAAGTTTTGCAATTCGCCACCATTGTGCGAGCCAAGCATCTACCGAGCCATCTAGCAGGAGGCGGCTCCCGACCCGACATCGGACATCTCGAGCGACGACCCTTGACGAAGCTTCAGTTGCGGCGTATGCTGTTCGTTGCTTCTTTCGTAGTAGTGTAATGGCTTTCGCAGCACACGATGATCTGCGGTGCGGCAGGCTAGTGCGGAGTTCACGGGCTAAACATGCATATATTGGACAGCTAATGTGTACCTATATGTCATCGTATCGTACTGTGTAGTAGACCCACGGTATGCGGTGAGCGGGGACGGCTCTGAGTAGTAGGTACTGGTATGTACGGGTGCACATGTACTCGGATGTCCGACGGAGAAAGCTGCGCGGACCTGGGAGGGCGATCGTTAATAATACGCACCCGCGAAGAAAGGCTTTCAGACACGTACCCTGCTAATCACCAGGCGAGTTCTTGAACGCATACTCGACCGCACTCCTGCACGAGCAACACGACCAGAACGCCACCCCGCTCCTCCGCATCCCATCCGTCGTACACGCGTTATGATCATATCGCGCCAACTAGGATACCGTATGCAGCTCCTGGGTCGAGTATGGCCATGCTGACTGGGTTATTGTTCGTGGATTCGATTGGCGTGTAGATGCGCTGAGCACAGTCCTATTCGTTCATAGTGAAGGAGCTCCCGACTGCGATGGGAAGATCACACGGAGCGGGTGTCTGTGTGGGTGCATTGCCTCACGCTCCTCGCGCACGGCCGGAGAAGGTTATCCCACCGTATCCAGCGGGTCATGGCCTCCGTAGAGATCCTAAGCGACGTCTTCCAGCCCCGCATCATGATTATGCATCAAGACCCTCAGCACGCCCTTCGTGAGCGGCTCGTTCTGCCGCACCCGCACGAGTTTGACGCCGCCGGCCACGGGGTTCATGCTATCCGCGTCGTCGTCCAGGGGGGTTATCGGCGTATTAGAGTTCGTATTTGTAGAGGCCGACGAGTGTGCTGACGGTCGGGGGAGGAGAGACGGCGCCAGGCTGGTCATCGGAGTCGGCCGTCGTGGTCGTGAGTGTAAAGTACAGGGCCAAGAGAAGGACGGGCTCGGAGTGTCGTCCGCACGCGCGCAGAAGTGTCAAGTGATGGGCCTGGCCCCTCCGACGGTCCGGGATTTCCAAGTTTGCGCTTGGCCCGTTGATTCCGCTCTTTACATGTCCTCTCGAGGATATGTTTAGGACCATCGTGTGCAGGGAACGGGTGAGGTTTCGGACTGGAGGAATACTGCTGGGCCACATCCGAACAAAGGCTGGCTGTAGTTTATCGGATGGACGTCACCATCCCCGCCTCGTGTCTCGCGACGGCGGTCCGCGCGTGCCGTTTGACGCCCATAAACGTACACAGCTTCACAGCCCTTCGCTCAGCGAGAGAATCTTCCTCCACCCCCACCACCACTACCCCATGAAATAACAAATATACTCTTTTGCTCTCTGGAGCTGTGCGCAGCCCGTGTCTCACACGACTCGTAACACGGACACACACTATGAATATCTCGCTCTTCTCGCTGACGCCTGCTGACGCCGCGGCGACTGCGCCCGTTCTGTACGAACAGTCGCTTACTGTTTTGGCTGCCGGCGCCTTCTCTCCCCGGAATACGCGAGGCATACCATCGTAGACTCGCTCTGCCGACGGTGAAAGCCGCTACTCGTGCTGATTGAAGTGATAGATCACCGTGGACCAGCGCCAGCCAAGACGCACGCGGCTATTTACGCCGTTCATACGGGTTGAACGCGGCGGGAACCATCAGTACGCAAGACATACGAACGTGTCGACTGCGTTCTGGCTCTACGTGCATACGGTATTACGAGAGACATCGTCCCGTCCTCTACCTGCCTGCGCGGCCACGCGACCAGGGAGCGGCTAACCGTTCAATATTTCTCACCCAATCCTTCTTTAGTAGTTCGCTCCAAGCTTTCAGCCTGCCAGCATCAAAAGGCGACCATCGACGAGTACTCGTCGTACGATCAACAGCATGCATGCAGTACGTTCTTTATTCTACGGCGTACTCTCCATGGGCTGATGATGGCGGCGTGCAGGAGTACGTAGACTGGCGACGAAGGAAGGCCATCCATACACTCCCGTACAGCACGTCGAGGGAGATTGTTCCGCTCTCTCTGGTTAGTCCCCATAGGACCTATATAGGTACCTTTGGTGCCGCATCGAGTCTTCCGCAAGAACTGATGATGGCGGCACGCAGGGATCCTCAGTACGGGAAGCGATGAAACGGGGTTATCTCGATGATCATCATGTATTGCTGGCCCCGCGCGCATCAAATCGAGGATTGGACTCCTGTTATAGCACCTATGAGTCTTTGTCCGTACGGTATCGGAATCTATCATCAGAGTATGCTGGCTATGAAACACTATACGGCGCCTCGCGCCATCCTTTCATCTGTGCTCACTTGACTGTAGCTAGCTCCAGAGGCGGATGCACACCCTCATTCGTGCAAGAGGAAGGTACATGCATGTAATGGTCGCCCAGGCGGAAGCGTACTCGATGCTATCATTTGAAACGAGCAACGACTCACTTCTTTACCACCTGCATCTTGTTCGTTCGACCAAAGATACTTTGCGGGTACGCCTCCTTCGTCGCTCAGTGAGCATATATAGTAGTGTCTGAGCGGAACCTGCAGGAAGCATCGATCACTCTCTTTTCTTGCCATGGCCGCCGTCGACCCGACATACCCTCTCTACCCCATTGCTTGCTTCCTAGCGGCGGCAATGCTACTCCTTGTAATTTTGTCAAGTTTCATTCGGCAAAGCTGGAACCTTGGCGTCGCATTTTTGTGGTTCTGGCTCTTTCTCGAGAACCTGGTCCATGGCATCAACACTATCATATGGTCGGATAACGCCGACATCAAGCTATACGTTTATTGTGATATCGGTAAGGGGATTCAAAGATCTCAGAGGCCTGTGCGATAAATATGTACTCAATATTCAAACATGTTAGTTTCGCATCTCACCTTGATCACTTCAGTTGTCAAGCCTATGGCGACCTTGATCATATCGCGCCGGCTATATTTGATCACTCGTCTACAGTCTGTAGAACTCCCCAACAGAGCTGCGGTGCGATACAGTACATGAAAGATCACGCTTTCTCCAAGCTAAGCGCGATCCCACAGAAACGCAAAGAACTCGCGATAGAGTGGACACTTGGTTTTGTCATTCCTCTCGTTGTTGCAGGACCCCTCTGTGAGTCACAACTATGTGTTGCTATTCATCGGACCTGCTAAGCTCGCTGCAAGACTACGTAGTTCAGGACTACCGATTTATAGTCCAGGAGGGTTTTGGATGTGATAATTCTTCCGACGGTTCAATACTCGAAATATTCCTTCTCGATTCATGGAGTGTAATCGCACCCCTGGTATCCATTGCTATCTACTATCGTGCGTCAATTTGTCTTCAGATGGTTGCTCTCAGACCTCCTAAAGTTCGGCCTGCCACGCCAGCTCATGTTGCTCGGATCTTCTGCCGACAGAGTCGGGACATCAACCACTTCTTACAGAGTAACGATTCTGTGTCCCGGACAAACTACTTTCGCATACTCGCTCTAGCCAGCATCGATATTCTACTCACTTTGCCCGTCGGTATCGCGACTATCGTCTTGGATGTGGAAAATAATTTGTCTTTCGGTCCCATCCCATTCTACTATGGTTGGACCTACGATCACACGGACTGGCAACCAGAAAGCCTATCCTACGCAGGTATAGTGGCGCAAGGGACTGCCGGTGTAGCACAGGACTACTTCATTCAATGGACATCGCCCGTTCTCGCATTCACCATCTTCGCCCTCTTCGGCGTCACCTCGGAAGCCCGCGCATCATACTGGCGCATCATCTGCACCATAGGCGGCTGGTTCGGCTGGAAACCGATACCTCGAGCGCGCAGGGCGCGTTCACCGCTTGGAGACATCGAGTTCGGTCCGCGACCTGCTCAGAACTCAATGTCGCTCGGTCTCGAGTCCGTTGCCTTGCCTTCTGTCACAGGATGTCGACTGATCGGAGACTACAGTTCGAATCCGAGCTTCATCAATCGCAACGCACAGACGCAGGAACGTACACCGGGAGAGGTCGAGAGTGGCGCGGACAAAGAGATCGAAGAGGTTCGTCGGTCCACCGACGGCGCAGTGTGAGTCTCCTCCTGGCTTATGCGAGCGCTGTAGCTTATCCCAGGCTCTTTATCTAGTAGAGACGCCGAGCATCAGTCTGGATATCAGGAGACGCACCTCTCCGAAACAGACGTAGACGCCTCGAGCGCCGTGTGAGCGGCGGCCCAGTTTCGCGCGCATTGCGACCTCCAGCCGGACGCAGCGTCGAGCGCGCAACCATCGATCTTACTTGATTCGTCGTTTGTTCACGTATGCCCGTCCTCTATTGTCGTTTGCGGTCCTTCCGAATGTTCGTCTTGTGTGATATCGATATGATAGTGCATATGAGATATGTTTAATGAGCCTTGCGCACTCGCCAGTTTCAACGGTGTTGTCGAGATAAATCTTACTGGCGTATCGTCTGCACAGTTAGCGGTCGGTTCGGCTGAAGATCCCCGCCTCGCACGCGCAGCATCTGTCCACCGATGGGAGATATCGGGTTTGGTCTGCGGCCACCTCGAAGCTCTTCAGGTCGATCGATCTTGAGAGCGTCGCAAGATGGAGCGATGCAAGTTGGCCGACTAGCACAACGGTTATCCAGCGACGCGACCTATGCAGTTCGTCACCATTGTGCGAGCCAAACATCTACGGAGTCGTCTAGCAGGAGGCGGCTCCCAAGCCGACAGCGGACATCTTGAGCGACGACCTTTGACGACGCTTCAGTTGCGGGGTATGATGTCCGTTGCTTCTTTCAAAGTAGTGTCATGGCTTTTGCAGTGCATGGTGATCTACGGTGCAGCAGACTAGTGCAGAGTTCACGGGCCAAAGATGCATGTATTGGACTAACAGTGTGTACATACATGCCATCGTATCGTACTGAGCAGTAGGCCCACGGTATGCGGTGAGCGGGGTCGGCTCTGAGTAGCAGGCACTGATATGTACGGATGCACATATACTCGAATGTCCCGCGGAGAAAGCTGCGCGAACCTGGGAGGGCAACCGTCAACGATACGCACCAGCAAAGAAAGGATTTGAGACACGTACCCTGCTGATCACTAGGCGAGTTCTTGAACGCATACTCGACCGCGCTCCAGCAGTCGCAACGCGACTAGAACGCCATCCTACTCCTCCGCATCTCATCCGTCGTTCGTGCCACAGAGGATATCGCGCCAACCAGGGTATCCGTATGCATCTCTTGGGTTGAGTAGGGCTGTGCTGACTAGATCATTGTTCGCGCGTTGCTGAGCACGGTCCTCTTCGCGCGTAGGAAATGAGTTCCTGACTGCGACGAGAGACTATAGGAAGAGAGTGCGCGTATGGATGTGCTGAGGCCCGATGCTGCATGGTGCAAGGGTAGGCATTGCATCGCGCCCCTCGCGCACGGGCGGAGAAGGCTATCCCATCGTATCTTGCGCGTCCGCAACGGCCTCCGTGGGATCCTGCACGACCTCTTCTAGCCCCGCATCATGATTATGTGTCAAGACCCTCAGCACGCCCTTAGTGAGCGGCTCGTCCTGCCGCACCCGCACGAGCTTGACGCCGCCAGCCACGGGGTTCATGCTCTCCGCGTCGTCGTCCAGGGGAGTGAACGGCGTATTAGGGTTCGTATTTGTAGAGGCCGACGAGTGCGCTGACGGTCGCGGGAGGAGAGACGGCGCCAGGCTGGTCATCGGGGTCGGCCGTCGTGGTCGTGAGTGTGAAGTCGAGAGAAACAGAGGGCCAAGAGAGCTCGGTCGTCCGCACGCGCGCAGAAGTGATGGGCCTGGCCCCTCCGACGGTCCGGGATTTCCAACTTTGCGCTTGGCCCGGTGATTCCGCTCTTTACATAGACCCTCTTGAGGATATGTTTAGGACTGCGCTGTACAGGGAAAGGGAGAGGTTTCGGACTGGGGTAATACTGCTGGGCCACATCCGAACAAAGGCTGGCTGTAGTCTATCGGATGGACGTCACCACGCCCGCCTCGTGTCTCGCGACGGAGTGCCGTTTGGCGCCCATAAACGTACACAGCCTTCACAGCCCTTCGCTCAGCGAGCGTCTCCTCTCGACCACCACCACCTGAAATAACGAATATATTCTTTCGCTCTTTCGAGCCGTGCGCAGCGCATGTCTCACACGACTCGTAACACGGACGCACACCATGAATATCTCGCTCTTCTCGCTGACGCCGCGGCGACTGCGCCCGTTCTGTACGAGCAGTCGCTTACTGTGCTCGCTGCCAGCGCCTTCTCTCCCCGGAATACGCGAGGAGAACCCATCGTCAGTG